TCTAAAGTAATTACATCAACAGATGTTATTGCAGCAGCTGCAAAATCTGAAATTGTACCAATAACATTAAATCGTCACGATTCAAATGATAATCTTAAAACATCGAAAATTTCGTAAAATTATACAAATCTTTTTTTTTTTTTTTAATTCTTTAAATAATAATTCTATTTATTTTTATAGAAAAACAGATAATGATAGTGAACAAGAAGATAGTGAAGTAAGAAAATTAACAGCTAAAATAGAAGAAGAAAAAGCACAACAACAACAATCATCTTCAACACATTCTTCTCATCAAACAACATTAAAAAAAACTATGATACTTTCATCAGATCAATTAAAATGTTTAAATCTTAAATTAGGTAAAAATAAAGTTGAATTTAGTGTTACAACAGCATTACAAGGTACAACAACAGTTGAATCAAATATATTCTTATTTGATCATATGACAAAATTTGTTATATCTGATATTGATGGAACAATAACTAAGTATATATATATATATTCATTCTTTTTTGTTTTAGTTAATATTAAATAAATATTTATTTTTAGATCAGATGTTTTAGGTCATATAATACCATTAGTTGGTGGTGATTGGTCACATGATGGTATAGCTGAATTTTTTAATGCTATTCAAGAAAATGGTTATCAATTTATATATTTATCAGCACGAGCTATTGGACAAAGTCAAATAACAAGAAATTTCTTAAGAAATATTAAACAATCTGATAGAGAATTACCTGTTGGACCATTACTTATATCACCTGATACATTAATGACTGCACTTTATCGGTTTGTTTGAATAATTTTTATTTTATATAGAAAATTTTGTTTTTTTTTTTTCGATTTCATAGAGAAGTTATTGCTAAAAAACCTGAAGATTTTAAAATTGAATGTTTAAAAAATATTGCTAGTCTTTATCCTGGTAAAAATCCATTTTATGCTGGTTTTGGTAATCGAATTAATGTAAGTTGTATAGAAATAGTAGTTAGAATATTTTCATTTTTTTTTTTGTTCTCTTAAAATCTAAATTTATTCTAGGATCAATGGGCATATACAGCTGTTGGAATACCTGTAACACGTATTTATACAATAAATCCTCGTGGTGAAGTTGTACGACAAAAATTATCTCAAGCTTTATCAACTTCGTATGTTTTTTTTTTGAAAAAATTTTTTTCTTTTTTTAAAATATAATTTTTTTTTTAAGATATAAAAATTTACATGAAATTGTTGATCTTTTATTTCCACCAATGGATTCATTTTCAGCAAGTGAAACATATTCAGTTTATACATATTGGCGTGAAGAACCAACAATAGATTTATTTGAAGATGAAATGCGTATACAATTAGAAGAAATCGAAAAACGACAAAAAACAACGAAATCAAATATGAAAAATAAAGGTTCAACAATTAAAACACCAACATCAGGTATTTTACCAAAAACAACACCAACAACGACTATTGTTAAACCTACAGGTGATAAATTATTAACAATAGCTCAAGCAACAGAAAATACTGTTAAACGTGCATAGATAAAAAAAAAATGAATTTTGTAATTATTCAATAAGAACTATGTCAGATATGAAAAAATAAATAAATAACGATGTTGTGTGTATTGTCATTCCTATATTTTATTTAAACTTTTACTTCATGAAAATTCTTTTCATTTTCTTTTCATGTATATTGATGTGCTTGTGTTTATTTGGTTGCATTTTTTTTTTGTTGTTGTTGTCGTATTTTAAAAGAGGCTTAGAGAAAAAAAAAACAATATGATTAATTAATCAAGAGAATAAAATATGACTTAATCTAAAAGAAAATATATTTCATTTATAGATAAAATCATTTGATTTGGTAGGATTTGTGCAGCAAGATAAGAATAAATATCGAACAAGTAACAAGAAACACGTGTAATCCTTATTTTTTTTGATCAAATAAAGAGGTATAAAAAAAAGCGAATGTAGGTAAAATGCTTATTTTGAGAGAAACATATACATTTGTAAAGGTATTAATAAAATTTCTAATTTCTATTCTCTCAAAAAAAGAATCCATTTTCGTCAGAAATAGGATTGCTTTGTCAAGACTCGTATAACATATTTATTTAGTATTTTTTGTTAGAAAGTGCATGTTAAGATGCAGTGCACCAAAGAGTTCTTTTTTTGAAATACGTTTTTTTATTCTCATATACGAGAATGTCTCTATAGAAATAGCGCCATTTTTTAAGAGTTTTTTGAGCGATTGAATTTGTCATTCCTTGTTTTTCGCTTAAAAAGTAAATATGAAAAAAAAGCAAGACTCTTTGGTGCACTGCATCTTACCATGCTCTTTCAAACAAAAAGAAAAAAAACATGTTGTAGGAGCCTTGCCAGAGAAATCCTGTTTGCCAAATTTGCTGTTTTTGACCCTTATTTGGTTCGTATCTCTGTCAAACATCATGATATCGAGCTGAAAAGTTTACCATAGTCTCAATATACCCCAGAAATTTCAGACGTTTCTGGGTTGAGATCGACTTTTGAGGGGTCTTAATTTATAGATTTTCTTTGTTAAATACAATAGAATCTTTTGATCGGTATAGAATTTAAAGTTCATATAATAAGAATGCTAATTATCAAAAGATTGATTAATCACTTTTGACTTAAGAATACATGCTTCATATAAACTCTAATTTTCAAATTTCGGCTTAAAACTTTACACACAGTCAGACCTTAATGAGAATACTTTAGAATGTATAACATAAAAATTTGTATTAATTATCTATTTTAAAGTTCTAGATAAAACGCATTTTAAAAAAAAATGCCACTTATTGATAATAATGTAAAACTTGATTTTAAAGACGTTCTTATTCGTCCAAAACGTTCAACATTAAGAAGTCGAGCAGATGTTGATTTAACACGTCAATTTATATTTCGCAATAGTAAAAAAACTTATCAAGGTATTCCAATAGTTGCATCAAATATGGATACAGTTGGAACATTTGAAATGGCAATACAATTATCAAAAGTATTATATTTTCTTTCTTTTTTGTTTTGTTTTGTCAAAAAAAAAACATAATTTTTTTTCTAGTTACAATTATTTACAACTATTCATAAACATTATACCGTTGAACAATGGAAAGAATTTGCTAGTCAACATAAAGATATACTTTCTGTAAGAAGATAATTAAAAAAAAAGAATAATTAATTTCTAATTATATGTTTTTCTTCTTTTTATGTAGAATGTAGCAATATCAACTGGTATGACAGAAAATGATTTTAAAAAATTACGGTAAATTTTTTTAAATAAATAAATAATTTTTTTTTCTAGGTTATGTTTATTTTTTCTTTAGTGAAGTTATTGATGCAATACCAGAAATTGATTATATATGTGTTGATGTTGCTAATGGTTATTCAGAACATTTTGTTGAATTTGTTCGATTAGTTCGAAAAGAATTTCCTGATAAAACATTAATTGTAGGAAATTTTTTATTTTATATGATTCTATTTTTTTTCTTTTTGAATAAAGGCAGGAAATGTTGTTACAGGTGAAATGGTTGAAGAACTTATTTTAAGTGGAGCTGATATTGTTAAATGTGGTATTGGACCAGGTTAGATATAATTAATTTATATGATTTATTATTAAAAGATTTTATATTAGGTAGTGTTTGTACAACACGTTTAAAAACTGGTGTTGGTTATCCACAATTATCATGTATTCTTGAATGTGCTGATGCTGCTCATGGTCTTGGTGGACATATTATTAGTGTAAGTTTCTTATTTCATCATATTAAATATAGATTAAATAAAAATTATTCAGGATGGTGGTTGTACAAGTCCTGGTGATGTTGCTAAAGCATTTGGAGCTGGTAAGTTTAGATACTTAAGAGGAAATGTATAGTGTAAAAATTTATAATTGTGAGAAAATATTTTTTTTTTTTTCTATAAAGATTGTGAATATTCAAAATCATTTCTAAGAAAAATTAATTAAGCAATATTTTTTTATTTTTAATTATATATATTTTTGAATTTTAGGTGCTGATTTTGTTATGCTTGGGGGTATGTTTGCTGGTCATGATGAAAGTGGTACAGGTGATGTAATTGAACGTGATGGACGTAAATTTAAACTTTTTTATGGCATGTCATCAAAAACAGCTATGGATAAACATGTAAAATGAAAATTTTTAATGATTATTATTTTTTTTTTTTATTTATTCTAGTCCGGTGGTGTAGCAGAATATCGAGCATCTGAAGGTAAAACAGTTGAAGTACCATATCGAGGAAGTGTTTTAGGCACTGCACAAGATATATTAGGTAGATTTTCTTTATTAAATTTAGAAAAGAAAAAAAAATTTACTTATCTATTTGTAGGTGGAGTACGCAGTTGTTGTACTTATGTAGGCGCTAGTAAATTAAAAGAACTTAGTCGTCGTACAACATTTATTCGTGTCTCGTAAATAATTAATTATTTAAGTTTATTTCATTTAATTGTTTTTTTTTTTATAGACAACAATTAAATGAAATTTTTACACCGAATACGGTACAAAATTAAAGATGATGATGATGCATTCCAAAAGATCTTTTTTTTTTTCGAGCCATGACTTTATTCATATTGTGAAACAGTAGATAAAAATTTCCATCTGTAGTTATTGATATCAAACAAAAAAGATTCAAACAATAAAAAATATTTTTTTCATTATTGTTCAACAAAATTTAGTAAACTTTTTGAAATGAAAAGTTACAGAAGTGTTAATAATTGTTTAGACTACTTTTCTTTAATGTGGTCAATGTTTCCATAGTAAATTTTGATAGAAACAACGTAGAGACTTGGAATTTCTATATTTATTTTTATGTTAATCAAGATGCCTTCTCAAAAGAAAACAACTTGATCTTACAAAAGTAGTAACAAAGAGTCTAAAAGTAAAAAAATAGACATTCTCGTTTTCGTAGAAGATTAGAAAATGTTCGATTTTTACATTTTACAATTTATTTTTGAATATAAAACAAACAATAAAATTCTATATCATTTTCAACTTAACATCCATTTGATATAAGATCAAAACGTTGAATACGAGAATTGTTAGTATCAACAACATATAAATTATAATTTGAATCGAATTGAATTTGAGTTGGACTATTAAGTTTAAAGGCATTATTACCTGGTGTATTATCACCAGCAATCATTCTACCTTGTCTAGCACCATTTGTCCATACTAATATACGATGATTGAATGTATCTGCAATGAACATATGATTACCAGATGGATCAAGTTGTACAGAGTATGGTTTATTAAGTTGATTCCAACCAGCTACAGTCATACTTGAATTTCGTTCATTTATATTGTATTTTTGTATACGACTATTATATGTATCAGCAATATAAAGTGAATTTGTTTTTTCATCTAATGCAATACCAATTGGATTGTATAATTGCATTGAATCAAATCCAAATATATTTGATTGACCAGCAACTAATTTTGTAGTGTCTATCTCAGAATCCCACACAAGAATTCGATGATTTTTTGAATCAGCCATGTATAATAATGATGGATATAAAACTGGAACTATTAAACTGGTTACTTCATCAATTTGATTTATATCAGAACCTTGACCATAACGTCCAATTAATGTTACAGCTTCTGGAGAACTCAAATTACTATGGAGAGGAAATACCTAAAGTTTAAGAATCAAATTCTATTTTTTCTCTCTAGTTACTATGCATAGGAAATTACGAATATATTACATTATGAAATCATACCTGTATGCGATAATTCTCTAGATCAGAAACATAGAGTCGTTCACCTCGAACTATAAAAAATATTTTAATTTTATTTAATAAGATCTTCATAATTTCTTCTATATTTACTAGCAAGAGCTGCCGGTTTAGCAAGTAAGGTATTCCAAGAACCGTACGATCCTGTGCCGGCTATAAGGATTCCTTCTGTAGCATTTGGATGCCATTTAGTAATACGATTATTATTACAATCGGCTACTAATACAATTCCATTTCCGTATACATATATATCAGTAGGATATTGTAAACCATCAAGTGATGTTGATGGTAATCCACTGGCTAAACCAGCGACAGTGACACCACTAGGATTCCATGATGCAGTTGCTGCACACAATGGTTTAGAAACTTGAAATACATAGTAGACTCAATATTTTTAATAAGATGATTAAACTCATATATTGGGACGTGTAATAATGATGAAGATTAGTAAAAAAAACTCGCAATTTGCATAAAAATTCATGTATTTGAAGAAACATGCGAAAATTTATGTTCATTGAAATATAATCTTCAAGAGAATACTTAGTGACCAAAGGCAAATGAAAATGTCGGCAAACTCTAATTAATCTTACTCAGATTTTTCGTACAATTCTTCTTCATTTGTAACGAAGAATACTCACTTCAGTTTATTAACGACTGGCAAAAATGGTGAAAAATGGGATGCGCCTATCAAAGTCATAGGTTCATAGGGACAACCTATTTTAGGCTTTTCATAGTGTCATTGAGGCTTGCTTATGTGTACAATATCAGCTCAAACAGCGCGTGTCTCTTGAGATAGTTCTCTCGTTAGTATCTCGCTGTAAATGGTCATACAGGTGAATTCTTATTTATAGAATCTATTTTTACAATCTAAGGCATATTACTGTGAAAGTCATTCGTCAAAATAAACCATTTGATTGATATTCTTAATTTTAGAGAAATTTTGAAAAATGAAGATAGCTTAGACTATATATTTGCTCGAACTAATATTAAACAATAAAAAAAAATATATGTTTAATACTTCTTATTCATATAACTCATTTGTTTTTTCTCAAGAATTGATTTTCTTACCATTTACATTTGAATGTTGAACCCATTCAGATGTCACAGAACATATCGGTACTTCTATATAAAAGGAAGAAAAATATTGAGTCTAATATTAGATATATGTATCAAATTTACTTTTTATTTCAGTTAAAATAATCGGTATTCCAACAATTGTTCCAAAGAATAATATGATAAAAATAACGAGCGATATGAAACTACCGATGACTTTCCTACGAATATTTTTTTTTTCTTTTTAAATAAAACAAAAAAAAAGAATTTTTATACCAATTTGTTTTATGTTGATAGAGATCTTGTTGTATTTCGACACGTTTTTGATGTTGTGAATAAGTGTGTCGAAGAGAATCTAACTAAAATATTTTGATTAAAATGTTTTTACTAACAATAATTGATTAAATATCTACTGTTGGATGAATTTGATCTGTTTTATCACGTATCCAAATCATATATATTGTTTAAATAATTTGAAATAATAAAAATGTTAATTGAAGTGAATAGAAAAGAAAAGGACTGACTTTTTAAAAGAAGTAAAAAAACAAAAGAAATTTATTAAATAGTATGCTATTTATGGATTGTAATTAACAGATGACGCTTTGACAATCATGAAAACCAAGTATGATATTGTCGTAGTCTTAGAGCAAAGTATGTTGCTTTTTTTTTGTAAAACAGCATTTTTTTAGTTATATTTAAAAAAGCATAAAAAATTGCTATAGATACTTCAATAAAAGAAAGAAAAACTTATAACTTGTAACGAATAAAAATGTTTCCTGCAAAGAAAAAAACTAATCTCATTTTTCTTCGAAGAATTTTCATTAGTTAATGTAAGAAATGTCTGTTTAGTTTTTAACTTATATTCTCTTAGACAATTTTAGTGGAACTTAAATTATATATTTATTGAATGTATATGAGTAGGATAATCATCGATAAAATAAGTTACACTAATGCATAGAATATATTCACACGTATATTTTGACAATGATTAATCTTCAATCTACAATTGACACAATACTAGTATTGAATGATAAATCTATCTACTTCTCTTAATAGATTTCTATAATATGGTGCACATTTATTTATTTCTAGATAAAGATTCAATTTTCAATATGTTGGAACTAACAGTAACTAATGTTCAGGTAAATAGTATGAAGAAAACAAGAAAAACTGGTTTTTTTTCTAACATATGAAAATATTCTAGTCAGTAAATCATCAAGAAAAAGAAATAGTTCAGACAAATAATTTGTTACGTTGGTGGATGAGACATTATCATCATATTGGATTAGCTAGTTTGGCAGGTTCAGCTATATTAGTATGTATTATTGCAATCATACTATTGCCAATTGCTGTTCATAATGCAACTAAAGGTTTATAATAGTAAAAGAAGAATTCTAAAATTATTTTTCATTCTAGATGATGAACAATGTGTGACTGCAGTAACTACGACGATGACAATGTCAACAAGTTAGTCTTAAATTTTCTTACAAGTGAAAAATTTGATTCTTTTCTATTGATTATTGTTATAAAATTTGTAATTCGTTTCGATTAAACTGTTTTTGTTTTTTTCCCATGATAGAGAAAATATGATTGGTGTTTTTTTTAGTTTTATCTACTAATATTGAAAGTAGTGATTTATCGAGAAGTAATCAAACAGGTCTCTATTTCGATTTCGTTTTAATTTATTTAACATATACCATTTTAATTTAACATACAGTTTTGATCGATCCTCTCTGTGCAGCATATGCAACTTGGAAGAGTCAAGCTGTTACAATTGCTGGATCATCTGATGGTACAAGTTCACTTTCACGATCACATCTTAAGAGTCCGAACGATATGTTAATAGATGCTAATGATAACTTATTCATAGCGGATTCTGGTAATAATCGTGTGGTCTATTGGCCGATCAATGCGACAGAAGGACGTGTGGTTGCTGGACGAGGAGTTGTGGGGTCTTGGAGTAATTCATTTAAATATGCAGCTGCTATTGTAGGTAAGAGAAGTTTATTCTTTTTATTGGAAATTAATCGAATTGAAATTAAAGTTCAAACAGAGAACAAGAAATGACTATAAAATATTTTAATGCATAATTAAAATTTTGTATCCCTTTTTAGCTGGCAAAGAACATTTGTATGTTTCCGATCTTGGCAATTATCGCATACTTGCTTTTGCATTAAGTACAACAGAAGGTTCACCCGATGGTATTACCATTGTGGGTCACTATGGTGCTGGATCAGCATTAAATCAAATTAATTCTGTATATTATATGTCAGTAGATAGAACGCGTGAATTATTTTATTTGTCT